TCAAGGCAATCATGGCAACGACTTGAATCTCTCTAACTACGCGCAATTCTTATTCTGATTTTGGTCATTCAACTAAGGGAAAAGCACAACAGCAGTCCACAATAGCATTTTTTAATATAATACCGTGCACATATCGGCGCGCGCGACACATGGCGCGATGTGATTTTTTTCTCCGTGGAAAGGCAAACATCGTGAAGCGCATGACAAACGGCAACTATCGAGTGCCTGTTAGAGATAGGTAAGGAGCAATGAAAGGTCCTCCAGCGTGCCGCCAGCATAATGAACGGCCAACGGCGAAGTGGCTCGCACGGAAGGGCACCGCGGAACTGTTTAGACAGCGAATGCTTCGCCATGTGTTATGATTGACGTGTATAAATATTTAGTTAGTCGCCTTGCCGTTTCGTGCCTTGCGTACGTACGTGCGTACGCTCGCGCGCACGATGCGTAATCGTACGTATGATTACGCTCGCGTGAGACCACAGGACTCTTCTCTCCTTGACGCGACAAATTAATAACGACCCGTTCGTTATACGCGCCACGTGAGATTTCACAGATGGCCAGCCGAGTGTTAGCCGACAGATTGGAACGGAATCGGTCTGAAGGAAGAAGCGTCAAAAATTTTTTTTCTCAATATATTCCCCGCGAGTCTGTCACAAAGTTGTCATTAAAGCAAGAATCTGACAGACGCGACGACGGTTTCCGTAAAACAAGTACTCATAAGTACCAATGTGTCTCAGTGCGAGACACCTGTCCTCGACATGGCAGCGCGACATCACGATTGTTTGGTATGTCAGGATGGATAGAATGTTAATTGGGAAAAAGAGGAAGCACGATGTCTTTTTTATATGTTTCTTGTAATGGATTGGTTTCTGTAGAACTTGACTTAAGAACATCGACTCTATTCGCCATTAACGTGTTCTTCTCGTACTTACTTCTCCTGAACCGCGATCATGTATCAAGTTATGAAAAAAGGAACTATTGGAAGACGACGCCCCGACGGCGAAATACACCCACGACTCACTAAATCATTCGTGTGAAAGCAAGGGGCGAGCCATGCGGCTTTTAGAGACCCAACCCCTTTTTTTACATTATATGCCTAACTACAATTCGTATATGTTATTTCCAAATTATTTTAAATTACAGACCACGACGAGCCCATGCGATAATAGGAGAAGGCGTCCATTCGACAATATCTTCTTACGAGGCGCTTGTACACCTGGAGCATCGAATTGGTGAGCAGCTTATGCAAGTTCCACATGCGCATTTTCTGTTTTTTTTTTATCATTGTGCTACTAAAAATTGATTGATGAAGAATTGTGCACAACCAAAGGCAAATTATAAATTATAATTTTCTCGTATTATAATTTAATTATATTTCTCTAATTTAATTATATTTTTTTATTAAACATTAGATAAACTGTTTTAACAAACTAAAATATTATAACTATATCAAAGCGTGCAAGTATTTGTAAAATTATCATGATATTTTATTGATATAAAAACATAATGATAGTTCCAGTAGTTAACATTTTTGTTGTCATATTTTCATTTTTGGTTTTTTAGTATAAAAAATGCAGAACTCTTTTATTTTTATAAGGAATTGTAGAATTATGAAAATTTCTACTGGAACTATGATTATTTTTTTCGTATTAATAAAATGTGCTAACTTCACAAATACACATGCCAAGGTGTGTGTGTGTGATGTTGACACCTTATCTGTTTGTATCACAAGTTTCATTTGCGCTCACAATAGTTCTATTCCTAAGGGTCAGAAATACAATAGTTCCGTTAATTTAATTTAAAAAAAATAACATTTGAAAATTTAAAATGTTAACTTTACATGGCATCTCAAAATTTGAAAAAATTAATTTTGATCATGAAATTTTATAATTCTCGAAGTTTTGTAGTTCCTAATAGATTTTAGAAATAGTTCCATTGATGTAACTAAAAAAAATGTGCTACTTCACAGTCGTGCTAACTTCACAGATCCCTTAGTTAGCGTCCGAAAGTTTACAAGTTGTTTTGATGCACTAACCGACACATTAGCATAAAAGCCAGGTGCAACGGCAAAGTTATGCGTTGTTTCTGGTTAGTCTGTTGCCAATCGTTAATTTTAGCCTTTCTTGTATATTATTATCATCGACAAAGCGTGAAATTTTGTTTCCACCATTCAAATCGCTAACAACAATAAATTATTCAATAGAGAGAACTAACCAGCGACTTTGAAATCGATACCAATATCGATCAGCTTCGATCTCATTGGAAATCAAAGAGTATCAAATCAAAGAGGCGCATATCGATTGAACTGTTTCCATACAATCATTCTTTGGTTTGGTTTCCATATAGTCATTCTTTGGTTATTCACAATGACTTTACCATTGGATAACTTCCAAATGACGTTGCTACAAATTATATCCTTGCATTGGTTAAGATTTCCATACATCTTAAAATCCAAAATTGGAAAAACTTTTTTGATTCCGAGATTTCTTGTTCTTGCTCTTATAATTAAAATAGATTGAATCGTATAATAAGCGACGCATTTTTGTGGAAATTGAAATAGATTTAAAAATCTGCCATCACGTCCGACATGTTCGATGACATACCGATGGCAACGTAATATTTATGATGATCCGAGGTAATCGGAAATCTTGTTCTCCGCAAAATCCCAACAGTATCTTCATCGAATATCAGCAGCATCCAACATTCGCACAAATTGGCAACATCGACTGTCGTCGATGCATCGTCGTCACATCTACCGGGATTCACGCGGCGTATAAGCTATATCTCTGTTTAAGAGGATTATTTATTGAAGGCATCGGGGACGATGCAGACTGATTAGCATAGTAATGCCACCGGGAGAGGCTGCTAGCCCGGCTGCTGCCAGTTTATGTGTGTGTGCATGCGTCACTAATCTACCAGTATTAAATTATTGGTGCAGCAGCCGTGCGGTGCACCAATGATTATCATTTATCAATATTACGGGCGTAGTAACGTCGAGAGATCACCGCCGGTCTCGTATATTTGTACATCGTCAGCACATAATGTTATGTAGATACCAGTATGTGTGACGTCGATCGGTGATAGGGATGCTCTCTCTTCTCTTGATCTTGCAAAATCACTAATCGGTACCTGAACACGATCAGTAAACAGCGATCGCAATATCGATCAATGTAATCGAATGAAGCGTATGACGCAATTTATTATTTAAATGATCCTCCTTGACCGAATATAGCCCTTTTTACTTATTTGTGTTGAACATTTCTCGATCCATTTTCACTTAACTTTCTTTCCACTTATTTATAGGACAGCATCTTTTCAATTTTTTTTTCCTTGTATATATAATTATGTGTATATATATA